TAGGATTACTTGAGAAAAAGTACCAATCTCAGTACGATGGACGCTTTAGTGTAAACGCCCTATTTTAAAAATTACCGTTTTTGCCGCGGCCGCGTAAAGAACAAGGTAATAAGCAAGTGGCACATGGTAATCGCGATTGCATAATTATTGTACGAGTAGATAGATATACACTTTATTGCTCATACACAAGAACAAAAGCAGTACATAAACAGCAACTAATGTGGGCAAAGGTATAACAATACTATAAATTTTCACAATTTTTATCATCTGAACAAGTCGAGTTCGCGAACAATACGTTCTTATATTTATCGTTTATTGCAAATGATTCGCAACCGTCGATTACTATTAGTATAGAAAATGAAGTAATAATATGATAGTAACGAAGATGTCTTTATTCCTTTTATATCTTTCGTGAGCTATCAACATGAGAACAGACGATGTTATTTTACACAATTGTCAAATCAGTCATCAGTGCATCGTCTACATATTTTGTGACATAGTATACAAATATTTTATAGAGGGTGGTTGTTAGGGACTCAAGACGAAAATCGATTGTATTTATTTTGTCCCTAACCGTCAAATTGGGCCTTTTCCCGTGGGAATGTCACATATTGGTGATATGCCATACCTTTTATGTAATAAGGGCATTGGGTTGGGCTTGTATGATTAACGTGATTAAGTGCATACAAGTGAGATAGTAGTTATTATACAGTTATTTACGAGCACGTTATGAAAATAGATGTAATTACTTAACCATACAGGGTCAAAGCTCTTATATAAGTTCCAATATATTGATAATGGTTTTCATACGTGAAATTACATACTTTAAAACTGATTAAGGTATTGGTATTTGTAATTTTGTTTTAGTGTACTATTTCTGTTCTTCTGTGACACAATCTTCGCTGTAAAAAACTGAAACGAATATTTCGAAAGGCCAGGTTAAGATTACCCTTAACCCACTTAGGCCTCGTGTACATCAAAATGTACATAATATGTGAAGCGATTCAGGCCCACGTAATAATTATCATGTTAATGATTACATAATAAACGCCCTGTTCGCGTCTTGTTCTTGCTACACAAACTATCTTGTTAATAATGTTGATAAATAATGAATCCTTCTTGATCTTACAAATGGTATTTATTTCGTTTACTTTATTATAAAATAAAATACGCGCTTGCTTATGACAATGCCTTGATTGCAAATGTGTAGAAATCATAACTAAACACAAAAACATAAAAATGCTGACGCGGTAACATACTTAGTGTGCGATATTAACCGTACACGCCCAGTGTATACTGTACTTTATAGTGAATATATCGCATTCAAATCTAGCGTTACATATGATGTATGACCATTGGGTATCTAGAATAATCTCAGTACAGAGTACTAAAAAACTGACCTCAAAAGTCATTCATCCCCTGGTTTGTCACCCATAGAGGTGGAATATTTTCTTCAAATTTAAATGGGATCACTTCTGAGGTACCCTCATTCCAACAAAAAAAGAATCATCAAAATCGGTTTACAAATGAGGGAGTTATCGCGTAACATACATACAAAAAAACATACAGCCGAATTGAGAACCTCTACCTTTTTTTGAAGTCGGTTAAAAATATGCTTTTCATGGTAAACAGAGGGCTTGGTCCAGAAGCATGTACTTAATTATATTTAGTACATTTTATTGGACATTGGGCGTTTAAAGCTTTTCCTAGTGCAGTTTGCTGCATCTTAGGAGATCAACCGACGAGCGTGTATGACAGCCGTTGTATATTCGATGATGGCAGCACTGATGCGTGTAGAGTAGGATCGTAGCAAGTGGAAGGCTTTGTGGTTTTTGCCTACCCGGATGGGAAAAGGGCGTAGAATATATGTATAATGGTATATTTAAATTGTATTCTTTTCTTTTTTAGTGTTAAAGTAAGAACTATAATAAAATTAAACACATATAATATACTCGTATGTATATCGCCACCTTTTAAGAACAGTGGCTTGAAGTAGGTTTTTTTTACTTTTTGTTATTACATAGCTGTATTTGTAGCATGTGTTAAATTTCATTAGGATTAAGACATCGAACTTTCCATTGGTTGAAGCAATCACGTGACAACATTGATTGGGTATACGATAGATCGTTTCTGCGCGCCAGATGTGCCTCAGTTTTTCTTTAATGACGAATTATGTTTTTGACATTGGCCGCTATTCTAGAAAGACATCTAAATGTAGATGCTAGTGGCGATGGATCCAATATAATACGAAACCCATCAGCTTATCTTAGAATTTTTTCTCCAACACAGAGCGGTTAGACACGGTTATTTTTAGCAGCGACAGAAAGGCGCGATTGCATCGCGACATTGCGGTTTATAGGCGATTGCATCGATGCAATCGCGCGACAGCATCGATGCAGGCGCTTATGATGAATCATTAAAAACTTTCCCATCGCGATTGTATCGCTGCTTAAGATGCGTGTGTGTAAGGTAGGCGATTAGCAAGTGCATCGCTACTACGTTGCGACTGAATCGCTGCAGACGCGCTGCTAAAAGTCGCCACGTGTTACCTTCTACATTGGCTAACCTTATTTAAATATCTATTCTTCACCACTGATGGGTGCATACTTTCTACTCAATGCGAAATGTATATAAGTCTGTATAGGCATTTAAATCTATAGATATTGATTGTTTAAATGCCCCAGTATTCATGTTAAATGATAATAAACAAATAAATTACTCACATTGGTCAGTTCAGGCATTCTGGCATATTCCACGTACAATAATATTGGAAGATTTGATGCTCAAGAGACATGAAACTGAAAGCAAACATAAAATGCTCAAATGTATATATGCCTAAGGGTTTACTGACTTGTAGTGTTGGAGTTAAACAATGCTATATGAAGTTGTACATATAGAAGCTGCACTGAAGTTATTTTTGTAAAATCTTACACACATCAAAGTCACAAATCACTGAGACAGCATTTGGCTTTAGTCTGTTTAAATGGACAATTTAATATGAATACTATAATAAGAAAAAAACATGTCTGAAATGGTTTAGACTGTATTTTATATTTGAAACATTTAAATCATTAAATGCTTCTAGATGAGATTACTAAGAGACATAAATTCATGGTCAAGTGAAAACAGAATTAAAATTTGTTCAAAATTAACAGACAGTATTTTATTAATTTGAACAGACTAGAGGTACAGACCAACCTCTAGTCTGTTCAAATGAATAAAATAAAATGAACAGAATAATAAACAAATAAATCATTAATGATTTTGTTTAGAATAGGGTATTTCACAAATTTGGAAAATTCAATGTTTTTCATTAGGATTCAAATATAGATATAACATACTAGTAAAATGTGAAAAAGGAATTGAAATTTGTCAAAAAATAAAAGTCACAGGCACACATAGTCACTGGTTTGATTCTGATTATCATTTTGCTAAAAAGAAATAGAGCATCTTCTACTGACTAACCATTTTGATGTTTGAAATTGATGAAACTTTTCTATATTTTAACTGATGTTTGGTTTAGTTGATATCACAAAAATCTATCAGATATTTATATTTAGCACTTTCATATCACATTGATAGAAACAATAAGAATTTTGAGTCAGATAAACTACTCTAGAAGATTAGGTAGGGTCCATTTTAATGCTTTTTTATTAAGCCTGTTTAAGTGCCTTTATATTTAGATAATTAACTGTTACAAAGTCAAATAATCATTAATTCATAAGTAAAATAAATTTACACTTAAATGCTATGGAATCCACTTTACTATTTGAGAGTAGCTCTTTAAACTTATTACGTAATTAAAATAGTAATTTGAAAACTTCATAGCATAAATGCCATAATAATATTGACAAATTTTTAAAGTAAGCAAACAAAACACAATTAAAAAAATTAATCGAAGGATTTTTTCTGAGTGTTCGATCTTTGTATTAATAATTATAACAAACTAGTGGAGTAAGTTCACATAAAAATAATTGAATATCAATTCAATAAAAATTAAATTAAAAAAAATGGATTTAGGAACCTGTTACTACTATATTCAGAGAAACACAAGATTATTGAAGTAAAGAAAATTTACCAGGTTAAGGCATATTGCGGACTGATAAAATTGTAATAACGAATGTACTCACTGGAATCACGAGTTCTCTCGTTCAAAGCCTGAGGCGAAGTCAGCTGACAAGTCAACACTCGTTTATTCAATGAAAGTTCAAAACAAATACAACGTGTAACGTTTAAATTGTGACTTCAAAAGTCCATACAGCTTGTGGATTTATAATTTAAACAATAGTTTCTTCTCCATAACACTAAATAATTATTTAAAAATTTAACTATTTCAACTATCATCGTACGCTAGGTTTATTACTTGTAAATGTCAAAAAAAACGTTTTAGTTTTTGGTCAAGAGTAAATTAAGATGATAGAAACGACTATCTCAATGATGTAAAAAGGAGAAAGAAGATAATATCACTCCGAATACGTTCAAAAAAAAAAGCCACGTTCAGATACACGTCTCAAGAGTAAAAATTACGTGTGTGGGGCAACTAAAAATCTTTATAAGTGCCTGGATTCGCTCTGGACCTTTTGGAGGGAAAAGTGTCGTTTTTATTTTGACTTTCAATTACTTTGTGAAATCTAGTTTAAAGTAGAATAGGATAGTGCTATTGTACCTTAATCGAAGATTAAAACGCGAAATTATACGAATCTCGAACTAAAATACCCGTAACGGCCCGTTTTAAGGAATTCCGAGTCAATCCAAACACGCCGCCTCAAATTGCCTATCCTCTTTGTAGCGGCCATATTTACAGAAACATAATTTAAACTTCATGTTTAGGCAGTTGATTTTGCCAAAGCCTTAATAAAAAAAAAATTATAGGTGAATTGTCAGTGTCACTGTCATATTGACGTTGATGGCTATACTGCAACAACAAACAAAGGATTTTTTAATTCATGGCTACGTAATTTGTATTTTGTTACATTTGCTTTTTCTTAATTCTATAAGCGATGTCGATAGTTTTAAGATCTTATTTAAAAGTAAAAAATAATGTTCTATCAGTTGGAAGTTCAAAATCTTCGCCGGTGTTGATGTATGTATCGCCGTTATTCACGCGGCATCTCAGCGAGGATAAAACCAACAGTCCTGAGTTTATTAATAGCTCTATATTGATGGAAAATGGGATGAATGTTCAAGAGCTTCCTTTGATTGTGAGGAAGCTAACGAATATAGCGGAAATTGATGAGAAATCGACTGTCGAAGATCCTCAAAGTGCGCCGGATAACGGCAGCTACCATCTCATTCAAGCGGAATTTAAACAGTGCGTCGACCTTCGAGACGTTTTTTCTTTACTATCAAAATGTACTAAGATTACTCCTAATATTGCTTTAGGTGCCATGGAGAGAATCTACGACATTGAAAAGAATCCAATGGATGCAGCTCCAATGCTTATTGACTCAAATACTCATATCAACATGGCTAAAGGTGCTATATTAGACAAACTTTTAAAAGTAATCATAAAGACTGAAGATACCCAGACAACACTGAATATTTTGAAAACTATATCAAACTTTATGGACCCTTATAAACACAAATTTTGTGAAGAACTCCTATTCAGAGTCATTGATAATAAATTGTCCATTCTGCAAATTTGTGAATTTTTATCATTTCTGATTAATAACAGAAGTGATCCCCGGTACTCTGAGATTATCGATAAATTATGGATTGGGTTTGTACAAAAAGAAGCAGATATTAATGAAGTAAATATTGTAAAAATATTCACAATTCTACCAGGATTAAAAGTAAGCAAGAGGACTATACTAACACTACTAGAGCAAAAGTTTGCTGACTTGTGGAGTAAAATTAAAGTACCAGTAATGCAAGAAATACTAAACACTTTCTTGGAAGTAAAATATTCATCAATGCAGTCATTTGCTGTGGTCGGCACATGGATACATAAAAATATCCATGCATTAGATGAGGAGTCTTTCCTAGACATAGTTACAAAAGTGACAAGGCTCAACTACACTGATGATCACATAGAAAAGGCCATTGAAAAGTATATAAAATTGAAGGGGCCAAGAATTCAGAGCCCAATTGTTATTGTGAGCATTCTTAACTACTGCATGCAGTTTCAAATTCGCAATGAACAGATTTTAAATGCTTGCAGTGAATATTTTTTAACCAACGGCAATGTTATACCTGCTAGTTTTCTGAAGTCTTTTATTTATCCATTTGGATATTTGTATTTTGATCCAATTCAAGGTTTTGAATTTTGGCAACAGGCTGAAAGAGTGCTGGAAGAAAAATTTGATAAAATATCAGCAGATGATTTAGCTTCTATGATACTTTCCTTCATTTTTGTTGGTAAGCATCCCTTGGAGTTAGTGAAAAGGATGCTCAGCCCTGAGTACTTGGTGAGGATTAACAATCCTCAAGTAATGAAAAAGTTCCATTTGGTAGACACTGCTCTATCTTTGGAGTGTAAGGATTATTCTATCCCTCTTCTTCCAAAAGACCAGTGGTCTAAATTCACTCTTCAAGATAGTAGAGTTAGGAATATAATAGATAAGATAAAAGATACCCTACAAGAAGTTGCAGGTGGTGTTGATAATTATTCCACATGTGTTTTTATACCAAACTTACATTTTGATGAAACTTATTTGATAGATATCATGTTACACCCTGCTGGTTTGGGAAGTAATAATTTTAATTGGAAGCTGAAATCTGGTAAAAACGTGAATACTGCTATTTTAATTCATCTACCAGACCATTATTGTTCAGATAATAAGCAGTTGATTGGCCCTCAAGTAATGAAGAAGAGGCATTTGAAAATTCTCAGCATGAAGGTTGTTAGTCTTAAGTATTCTATTATCAGTAAATTCTATACATCATTTAATACCAGTGATTTGAAGAAATATCTTATTGCCAGTATTTTGAATGCTGAGCCTTGTATGTAGTGTTTTTTATTGTTAAAGTAAGAAATAAATATGTAAATTATATAAAGTGCCATTGCCTATTGGCGATAAAAAATAGCAAAAAACATTAGAATGTAAGATGTGCAATTCAGTAGAGTATTAAATTTTTTTACTCGATTATGGAAAGCTTATATTTTGTGATATGAAGTACAATTTTGTGGTAAATCAATAAAAAAGCAACAACATAATGTTATAATTAATTTATTTCATTATACTCATAACATCTTTCTCTTAAAATTTACTCACTGACTAATTCACTAGAATTTTATTATTTGAATATTTTTAATATTTTCTTAAACAACTCTTAGGTACACTTCGAAATATTTTTTCTAATAAAACTCGTTCAGATTAAAGATTAACTAGCATTCCGCTTTGCGGGACTGCTTTGGGATATTAGTGCGCTGGTTTTTAGGTTACGCGTGACGATTGTTCATAATTCTGAGCTCTTATTTTTTAGGTTCCAGTCGCGTAACAACATAGTGTGTATTTGAGAAGCTGTTCGAAAACTACCTTTGTGACCCTAATTAGGTTAGAGGGCTTACCACATTTTGTTACGCCACTGTCCTATTTATATACCTTCTCCAACAACATGTTTGGCGAAAGCGTTTTCTATAAGATGAACAAGCTAAAAGAGCTCTTTGTACATTTTGATCTAAACATGTAATATTTCAGACAGCCTCGCAAATATGTAGGAGCGGGAATGTAAAGAATGGAAATGAACGGAATTTTTGAATTCCTAAGATTTAGAGGCTAATGGGACTTTTAGAAGGTTAGGTTGGACTGGCATTATGCAGCCTATGGTGCAACTACACGTCAGTGAAATCACAGATAGAGTCCGGCATTTTAAGTTGCTTTTATACTAGCGTTAACTGGGACGCGTTACACAGATACTTATTGCTTTAGGGGTTATCAACTTACGTCTATGCCGTATAGTACCAATTTCTTTTATGTTTTTAGCAATAGTTAAAATATTGTTTGTGTGATACAGCTAACGTTTGTTTAAAAGCAACCAAGTCAATTAGAATTGCCTCTGATGATTGCCCATAGCCAGAAATGACTACTCTATAATTTTATATAGCCATAATCCTGTATCACAGCAACTCTAGCATGAATATCAAATTTGTAAAGAATGTGTTTACGCTGCCTCACAGCCTAAATCTAAAGTATGTTAATATACATCAATAAATTACCTACTTGACACTCGACAGAGTTATGGCTTCGAATAAGGCTAAATGTACGATTGAAATTACGAACACGATTTGTAAACTATCTGAAGTATGTTAATATATGTGCATTTTTCGGGAGGAATGCTCACTGGAAACTGTCGTTTACACCTTCTAACTTTCCCGTTTAAATACTCTTAAACATTTATTTTTAAGCTCTTAAACTTAGAGTATCGCGGGTAGATTGAAATCAACAAACAGCAATTACACGCATCATAACAACTTTCAGACAAATTCTAGAGCATTCTTAAACGTTTCCAATGAGACCCAATCCCGAATTACATCTATGTAAACGTGACTCTAACACACAATAGGTACTCCAAAGCTATTATTATTAGGTACACACGTCACCGTTATTTTTCATTGATAATTACATTACCGATCTTCACAGTCTATCTTTCACATCATTCTAGATGAATTCGATTACAAATTTAGTTGCAGTTCATCAACAAGAATAGAAATAGTATAAATAGGTACTAGGATTGAAAATATTAACAGCAAATATATTTTTGCTAACGATTTTTATCGTGTTTAATAGTTTTTGAACTGCTTTATAGAGGCATAGAAAATAATTTTTCAATGCAATTAGTTAGTTATACTTAGGTAGAGATTAATACAACGTTTGTTTTGCCTTCGCGTCGTTCAAAACGATATAATTCACATGAAGTTTGGCACATTTCGCTGACTCGCAATAATGTAGGTATGACATTGAAATTTGTAAATAAATCTTAATTAAATTAAATTTTGTGTTGACGTTTGATACTGATTTTATTTGCACCTTATTTGTGTAGTTTCTATATTATTAATACGTGTGGAATTTTACAAGTAAATTAGGGTTGAATAATATGGTTGCTTATATATGAGAATTATAAATAAACTAATGTACATGTGTCTAACGAATATAACGTTATAATTTGCGTACTTCATTTTAAGTAGTAGTTGAAAAACAATGTTATACTGCCGATATAAAATATAAATTCGACATTCAGTTAGAAAGGTTAGGTAGAACGTAAGTTTTGTAGATACATAATTTATTTTATATTCTTAAGTATAATTCCTTTGTTAATATATAATTTAATAATTCTTTAGAATAAATTATCATTCAATACCTATTGATAGGCATAATTATTTTTAAGTCATTTAAAATTTTGAACAATAAAAAGAAGATATGTTATTGCAAAAAAATCTATTTTACATCACTACGTGATAAATAACGTATGTGTAAATAAACATAGCTTTTAAAGACATTTTTGGAATCACTTATTCGACATTTATATTAATTTTATAATTTCTTTCATTATAACTTTAAATAAAGTGGAATTTGTCCAATTCTAGATACAATTTTATAATCTTTTTAAAGTTAAAAGTCTGTTTTTTATTAAACTAACGAGTATGTATATGATGTTATATTATTTTAAATACATGTTCGGTAAAGATATTTTTATTAAATACTTGCGGGGTACATAATAAAAGGAAGCGCAACTTAGTAAATTTTTCAAATATGTATACTATTCGCAAATTTCGTAAGTAGTTGGTAAATATCGTGACTTCAGGAAATTTTGACAAATCATTAATTTGGCAATGGCAAGTCAGAGATGGTTCATAACTCTACATTATTTGTTTCAAATTGAATGTATCTTACTTTCATGTAACGATTTTAATTATTTTACTTTTATAAAAGTATTTTGGTTACATTGAAAATGGATGATTAGATGATGAGGACAGAATATAGAAAAGTTACGTCATAGTTGTACGTTGAAGTATGTTAATTTATTCACTGATGCAACCAAAATCAAAGCAAAATAGGACATATCAATAAAGTTGTCATATGTGTATTACTCGCTATACAGTTTCGATTCGATCTTATGCGTATAGCTGAAGGGCTAGCACGACAGAGCGCGAGATACTGCTATGCTTTATGTCGCTCTCGCGTTAGCCCTAGATAAGGTTTATACTATACTTCTTATGTTTTTAGTTACTCTGCTTTTTTTCTCTCATAAAATTGTGACTTTACAGATTTTTTCCATACTAGAAGACACAAAAAACTAATAAAACGAAATATCGTAATAACTATTTAGGCAGAAAATATATCAGAGAGACACTCAATTCTTATAACTTTAGTGAATGTAAAATGAGAATGTCGCTATATTCTCTACCTATCCAAAAAGTGATATCATGCACTATTATCTTAAAACTATTATCATTTTCTGATCTAATTATACATGAAATTCTGAACCATGAAATTTAGAGCTACCTAATCGCTTACGGACTAGGATATTTTACAACATCGACTCCTATTTGGCAGTTACCTAACACTCTTTTATACGAATAAGGAATAGCTTCCTAAACTTATACCGTATTATCATAAATACTCCATTAAGAGTCGTGTAATGGTAGCCATTTTTCACCTGATTGAAATCCATTAATATCTTTGCAATCTTAATGTTTTACAGTGCATTTAATGAATAATTATTATCATATGAACGTTGTTGAAAGGAGTTATCTAATATTTTCGGGTAAGGCTTAAGACATAAACAATTATTTTGTGATATTTTGTGAGTATTTGAGATGACTACTTTGTGATACCTAAACGTTCTTACAATTTATTCGAATGCATTACTACATAAATCGTAGTAAATAGATTTAGAATAACATTCGTAAACGGATAATGGATTCCGTATTTATCAATAAAACATTAAGATTATGAAATTATATAGTGAGTATCTAAGTAAGAACGGCTACCAATAGAGGACCATTTTAAACACAATTTAGCTAATCTTTTGTTTATCAATTTAGACGAGCCAAAGGGCTTATGTGACAATTTATGACAACACGTAAAGTGTCATGGAAATTAAAATTGACGAGTTTTTATCATACAGTTGTACCTTAAAAGGTACTTAGATGTAAATATATTTCAATAAGTTTATAATTGGTGTTATAGATTAGGTGCGCCGAAAGATTTTCACGAGGTCAATCTTAGCTTTAGTTTGAGGAAGAAGGAATACTTGACCTCGAAACTATTTAAATGTTAATTAAATTCGGCTATTAAGGGAACCGTCTGACCCGATTACTTTTCATTGTTTTCACGTTAGTTTACGTTCAATGAAAATTGTATTGTTTAGAGTAAGTCCGGATGATAAAAATTTTATACAAACGATCACAGTAAGAAATCATCTACCTACGTAAGTGTGTGGAATGCGTTTCCAAGTTTAGACGCTAGAATTTTTGCAGGGGAAGTCTCTATATAAATTCGTCTCTGCGTTCCCATCTGATGTCGCATTTTATATCACTCTGCCAACGTTACCCCGATACTTAATGTCACGGTGACTGTTGCACACATTTTTAGACATAAAGAAGCGACGGCTACTCCGATTTTAAAGTGTGGCTATCAAAGTAGCAAACACATCTACATTTTGATACTATAATACTGAGTAATTAGGTCATCTTACTTTCTTCGTCTTTTGTGACGTTAATAATGGTTGTCCTCAAAAATTTCCTTACGAAATTAGTATAAGTTTAGAAATGTGTACAGCAACATCGATTTTTGTTACTCACTTAAATCTACTGACCATAAATCCTTTAGGGTATGTTAGGCTAAGTGCTGTACTATTATATATAGAGCTGTATCAATAAATCAATAATTTAATTTAATAAAGTTGATTTTGAGTAAACAAAACAGATAATTCTAAGTCTATCGTAGGCTACCATTTGGTATCTTGTTCTTTGATGTCACATAATTAACATCAAAATGACTAGATAATTTATGACGTTTCAAAACAAGCGAAATGTACTACAACCAGGAGAAAATAAAGAATTTTACAACGTACTCTTCGTCCACGCTTCAGTCCCACCACGGTAAGTTGAGCAGATATAGAAACCTTAGAACATAATTAATAATTATTTACAAAATACTTTTTTTAATAGATAAAAAATATTTATGGTATTCTTCAATAGATGCATATCGCTCATAAAGTATCTAAGATTTTTAACACTGGTAGAAAAAAATACTAAAAATGTCATAAAATAACAAATACGCTACAGCCGGTACTACGGCCAAAGAATTACAACCGATATGGCATACCGGCAACACAAAGACCATTTAGGTACCTAAATAATATACTTAGCAAATCTATTGATAACAAAACAAACTTAGAGCTAACGTCCGATAAGGCTTCTCATTAGATTCATACATACTTTTTCATACATATCTATACAACAGTGAATAAATTTAGTAAAACATCACTCTAAGCAGCAAATATCGAAGGGTTTGTTTTGCCTGTTGGAAAAGTTGTTGGTATTAACACAAATGTACTGGTGGTCGAAGTAACACAGGGCTGCACTGGCGCTGAACAAACCACCTTAGCCACACTATTTTTTATTTGAATAGTGAATTTATATTCAAGCAATAATTGTTGTCTTTAATAACCTAACCTCCGGTTAGAAAAACCGACCTCAAAAGTCGTTTATCCCCTAGTTTGCCACCTTATTTACACACCCCTTATTTTCTTGAAATTTAAATGGCACCACATCTGAGGTACCTTCTTTCCAACAAAAGAAGAATGGCGGAGTTAGTTATCGCGTAACATACATACATAAAAAAACATACAGACGAATTGAGAACCTCCTCCTTTTTTTAAAGTCGGTTAAAAATACAACCGTCCCAATATATAAATTAATACTGGCAGATTACTTGAATCCAAAAAATGTGGTCGATATACTATTGCGTGCTTTGTGTTTATGTTCATAAATATTATTTTTGAGCTAAATATGTTACAGATCAATTTCCAAATCGGGTTTGTAAATTTTCGTGTTTTGGATGTTCGTTACGTAAATGAAAACGGTGTTTTTTTTTGTTATTTTGAATGTGTGTGGTACATTGCGGTAATACCATTTGTATGATATATCTAAGGTAATAAAATAAACGAAGAGTAACTGAACAATTTGTCAATATGTAATACCCTATATCTCAGAATATATGTTCTGGAGATAAGCTGCTGTAACAATTATTGTTTATATTTATATTCTCTTTGAGTAACGGCGTTAGTGCTCAGCAACTTTTACAAAGGCATCAACATTTTTTTTATGTCCCCTTCTTTATTGCTCTATAACAAAATTTAGAACTAAGCTAACATTTACAAGTTAAATGAACGTCAATATAATTTTATAGTTGTAAGAAAATACATAATAATATTTATAAACGAACCATTATAGAAAGTAATGTTCGTCTCGGCAGTCTTTCGAGAGCGATTATGCGATTGTTTAACATTAGAAAATGATCAACGAGACACGAACTTGGCCCGTTCAAAAAACAGCACTAAATAGTTACGATAGAATCACAAAGATTTTTCATAAGGGTGCGCAGAGGCACGGGCGTTTTCACTAACAGTTCAGAGACGCGTTTAGTAAAATTAGTATTGCCATAGTGAGAGTGCGGCGCGCGCGACGGGCGGGGTCGCATTCTTGCCCCACGCGTTCACGAGAAGATGGTGATGACCTCGCGTCCGCCTCCACGCACCATGAGCACCTTCTCCAGTCCTTCCGTCAGTACCTCTAGGAACTCCATGTCTGTTGGAAATTACGTTAAAAATGTAGCAATCTACTAATCTGGATACTGTATATCTACACTACGTCATCTTGACAATTGAGCCATTTCCTTATGTAAGTTATATTTCGCTCACCCAAATGTTATATTCAGTAGTACAACCTCTAGCTTCAGCTTATATAAATACCCAATAGTATTAAATACTAGTGGATATTTGTTTAATTTCTCTTGATTTAGGTAATGAAACTATTTTTTCGGATCAATATCGCGTACATTTCTTTTTTCAAACAAACTAATGTTTTGGGCCCTTTACCGGCCCCATGGTCAGGGCTGACACGCGATTTAGTTCCGAGAAAAGTAGTTTCATTTCCTATGTCTAACAATCGCGAAAACCTAAGTTCTCTAGACTCGTAGTCAATGATATTATGTACTTTTGTAGCAAAGTCCCTGTTGGAAGGGTATTAAGAAAACATAGAGTGAGTTACATAGTAGGTTGTCGAGCGGCAGTGAGGAATTAAAGTTCCATACAAAATGCGTATTCCGGGTGTATTTATACTTACAGTTGGACTCTCTCTCGAGCTTGGTATCTCTAGGCGGGCCGGGCAGGTTGAGTATGACTAGTTGTGCGTCGTGGGACCGCGATACGATCACCTCGTTCAGCTTTACCGCCGTATGCATTCGTCGGACAGTTCCTTCGTCACTGTTTAGAAATATGCGCTATTAAAGAAATCGTCTGTTTAACATGTCCAATTTGTTACTGGGCTATATATTCAAAATACAGACTAAAGGCACCGTTTTAATATTTTTAATGTTAATCTACGACTTTTAAGCAGATATAGGTTCGGATGTAATCAAGAGAAACCATTTTTCATATATGTTGAATGTTGTAAAACAATATCCTGTTTACATTTATTGATATCTGTTGTCAGTTACTTTGTACATGGTGAAACTAATACAATTTTTACTTCTTTAACTTAGTAGCTTTATCTTTCATATAAGGCTAGTAATAATAAATAACAAAAACACTCACGGCGTAATGTTAGCCTTAGTCATGACGGCTTCTCCGTTGGGATTGGCATCTCGGGGCTTTTCCTCCGTCGGCAGCGAAGGTGCGTCCTCACACTGCGAGCGTTCATCGGACGAGTCCCACATTGAATCGATTATGTGCAACAAACTACTCCGAAAATCGTCCTACTTCACCCCAATTCCAATTCCATTTCCAATTAAGTCCAATTTTGCGCGCATCGAGGGTTGCACATGACGGATTCAAGGCGAATAAAACACGGGATGTCATATATTATTTAAGTTGTAAAACAATAACTCACTACGGACATTCAAACATCCAATCTCTTAACTAATGTGAGAACGAAACGAACAAAAGTGAACAAATCAACGTGGATGAAGTCATTGCAAACATATGACCACCGTGTGTAGATTCGCTGGGACTTTCGTGCCATTTTGAACTGATTGTATCAATATGATATAAGATTCTCATTAAAATAACAGTAATGAAACTTTATTTCTATCAAATAGTTAAGCAAAAGAGCCTTAGCGATCTGAGTTTAACGTGAAGGCAAGAGTAAAAAATACTATTGAAGATAAAGGAGACTATGTCCAACTTATATATCCGCACGCTCGATAATAAAGTAAAAAAATTATATAAACAATTTTTGGGATAGTCACAGAATAAATTTAAAAAAATTACATACGAGGGACATGCCATTTGACTGGTGCCAAATAGGTATGACAAAAATCTATTTGATATGAAAAGCTATATTTTAGTTGTATTCCATACCTAGGTAACTTTGGTTTTAAATGTATTTTGTCAGAAACCCAAAAATGTTACATTCTAATTTCGCCACTATATTATGGAGGATGTGATATTTAATCGATTCAACCAGTTTTCATAATAATTAGCATAATGAATAAAGTAAAATAAATAATATGAAACTAAAAGATTTCAACAATGATGTAGAACATAACAAAAGAAAGGATACTTCAGTAAAATTTGAGTGAACCGAACAAAATGTTAAAATTTGTTAGATAAAAAATACAAAAGAGTTGAAATAAGAAGCGAAGAGATTCAAGAAAATAGCAGACAATTATGAAATGGAAAAATTCACTTGAAACTGTATTTATCAAGTAAAATAAATCGTGACCCCATCGTAGGTCAGTTTCTAGTGAATTTATTTTCAAGCAGAGACATGGATGTTTTTTCAAAAAATTACGACCAATAGCACGCAACTTTAGCAGTTTTATAAGTGTGTAAAGTAATACGAGTACAGTCAAAACCCCATCAAGCTCAACGTTTCGGACTTTCGACCGTTGTTTTCGCGAGCGTCATAGAGTTAATTTAAACTTAAAGGATCAAGCTTGACGTGCTCTTAACCTTGTACATACATATCTGTAAATACAAATATTATAAACGTAGAAATAAAAAGGGGCATTGAGGTAAGTAGTCCTATTGTTAATCATTAGTAATACGAATCCGAAGACACTATTGTACAGGGTGGAAATTTTTAGTTTACTTACACAACAATATATAAATTCATACATTTGGTACAATTAAGATTGTCAAAAGTGACACTAATAACATTTGAAATAGAAATAAAAATTTCAATCCTGTATATCACTAAGAAATTAACTGTATTTATTTATTTTAGAAGTCCATCAAAGTAAAAGCAAAAATATGTTCACCTTGTCATCCTTATCTTTCTCTTCATTGTCGCTTAGCGGAGGCGAAGGCGCATTTTCATCCACCGTTGGTTCAGCACCTGGTTCCGCAAAACGCACTTTGCTTGTCGTCTTATTCACATCACCATGATGATGGTCCACGATTGCTTGTACCTATACGCAAATCAACATCCTCTTTTATAAATCGCCCTTTATTTGAAATTGTTTAAGCTTTCGAGATGCCAAAGCTTAAAAATTGTAACTACTTAACTATTTATAGCAAAATTATTATAATAAAAAAAACTGATTTGTAGTGTATCTACACTACAACCAGTTGCAATTGTTAGCACTAAGTATATTATTGTTATATCAACACATAGATTATTTATTGCGATGCAATTTAAATTTTAAAATAAATAATATTATATATTAATATAATACTGATAAATTTTAAAAGGCGCGTTCAAATTGAATCAATATATTTAAAAAAAGTTATAAAAGTGGCTAAGCTTATTTACGATATCACCATTGAGATAAATGTTTTTTTCACACGTGAAAAAATATGTGTTTTTAAAAAAATATACGAACAACAAACAGCTTTTGAATAGAATATAGTGCTTGTTTAGAATACGGAAAAAAGGTGAAAGACGTGTTGTTCCGAAAATAGAAATGAAGTAAATAATTAGATGATATGTAAAGAGAGGATAAAACACCAAAAGCAAACATTGAGTGATTAAACATCGTAATGTGCACGTGCTGCTAGCAGAGGTTATAAAATGCGAGATGACGAAGTAGGTATGATGATAATCAAAGACACATAGATGAGAAAACTTCTTAGCCACACAAAGAAAATACTAGTTCTAAACGCGCTTCGGATCAGAGGCTAACAATAATCAAGCTGACAGAAAACATTTTATTTACACACTGTTTAATCAAGTACCAGGGCAGTGTGTAAACTATACATAAATGCAGGAGGTAATTGTAAAAAAATCACAGCTAATGAACAAGGGTGGACTCTATTGAGGGTTAGCGTATTACCAGAGGTAATTTCTCCTCAGCGTTTTGCTCATGGTAATCCACCAAATTTTGCACCTGTATAGGCAGTGACAGAAACATTACGTTAGTTCTATGTTACAAGTGGTTACAAGAGGTGTAAGCTCTGTACACACAGTTATTGACAAATTTTATTTATTTGGTCTTTCGTCGGTATGGTGTCTTACTTACCATGCCAAGAGTTTCCTTCTTATTAAGTCGAAGTTCTCGCAGCATTTGGTTTCGTTGTTCCATCATCAAAGTTCGTTCGTAAGTGTATGCAGATATATCATTGTCCGTCTGTAATATAAGAAATTTTTAAAACGTGTTTTGAATTTCTTCTGTTTAGCACCGTAGGGGTGTAATGGGTCATTACATCAGACCACGACCGGAAATATAATATATAATCTGTTAAATGAAATAATTTATGTACTACCTGTTCATGTGCATAAATAAAATAAATAAAAATAAAATTATTTTGACAATATTATTCGCATTTACTATGAGATTAGTACCATTGACAGTGTTAAGTGACAACTCAATGTTTAGCGATAATTATTTACCATTTCAACAACTTCGACTTCAGCCTCAATGCGAAGGTGGTACAAGAACATTTTGAGGTCCTTCTTCATCTGAATAGAGTTGTCTTCCATTTGGGCTACGGTAAAGATGCGCATCTTGCAGTTTTTCCAAGTACGATGTTGTTTCAGCAAGAATGGAAGCAGCATCAGCATACCACCGTCATGTACGATCCACCAAATGTCAATATTTCCGGACACCTGAGAGGAAGAAAAGGATTTGTCAATTTTATATCGGTAAAGGGTATGATTGAGTTAGTGATCTCAATTGCTTTTTCTCGCTTTTGTATTTCAAAATGTACTGAAAATAGTAACCTTTTCAGTAGAGTCCGGAAAGAAATTGATTCCCTTAGGTACGAGCATAGCCATTTTTGCTGCGGTGACAGAGCGTACGGTTTGCAAGAACGTTTGCCAGGTTCGTTCGTCTTCCGATTGGCGCCATCCATACGGCCATCCAATGAGCACCGTGTTCGGTTTTAGTCCTCCAAGACCGGTTGTTTGTACGCTGAAAAAAAAAATGTAGAAATTTGGTCCTGAATTACAAAAATTACTTTTAATGATTAAACTACGTGTGAGAAAATGCGTTAAAAATATTTACAAATGACTCAATCCTTCAGCAACACTATGCGTGACCAAAACGTCCACAAAACCCTTGACTTTTTCCTCGTTCATACAACTGCGTAGGTTTTGCTTTGCCATAAAGGCGTCACCAGATCTTCGGGTGAAGTCACCTCCCAACACCGATACACATACGGTTAAACCTTTTCCTGTAAATGAAATATGGAAGAGTTTTATACACTTGTGTGATTTTGAGGTTCTCTAATACATTAAGGACATTTTTTTTAATACTAACCAGCTTTAAGTTGACTAGCAAAAGCAATCATTTTCCGGTATTTGGGTTTTAGTTCATTATTCAGTTTTGTAAGGACAAGTACTTGCGGACGCCAGTTCTTAGTGTGAGGAGGACCTTCTTCGAGACGCAAGAGTGAATAACGCGCTGCTGATAGAGCCAAACCTCGAAGTCCATCACCCCATTCTTTTTCAGCTCTGAAATAATAATTTAGAATGGTAAATACATAAACTAAAAAGGGAAGTGGTGTAAATCGAAAGCAAAGACTTACCCGCGATATTCGATGTATTTGTATATGAGGCCAGCCATACCCATAGCTATAAGAGCGTAGTACCAGGAAGTCATAAACATGATGGAAATGCAAAGCGTTAAACCCGCCAAAGACAGTGACCTGTAATTATAAGAAACATTGAAGCAAACTTTAGAATAATAGGTAAAGCTTTCAGATAGTATGGTATTTTTTACCAATGATAGTATTTGAAACGTGGTCGCCAGTTTGGAGTCTTCAGAAGAGTTTGAAGAGCACAGGCTAGATTGACAAATCCGTAGCACATAAGAAAGAACATAGATAGTAGAGGAGCCAGGATATCGACGTTACCAAGAAGGATACCACCCTGGCAGATACACATTGTTAGCAGTAGAGCCCTGTAATCAATAAAAGTAATTATTATCATTATTTTAACGCTTTCCTCTGTAGACATAGATAATGAAGTTATGTAACAAAGCTTTTACCTTGTGGGTTCGCCCCTGCTAGAAGAAACGGCGAATGGTGCAAGGAAAGGTATAATTTCGTCTTTGGCTATAGCTTGGAGTAAACGTGGTGCCCCAGTCAAAGATTGAAGTCCTGCTCCTAGGGTAGAAAGGAACGAACCAACTAGGATAACCCATTGATTCGGCCAGGCCATGTTTGCTACTACTAATTTTCCTCCAATAGATTGGCCGAATCTGAAAAAAAAAGGAAAATCATTGTGATAAAGAAATCGTAAAAACATAAAATAAAATCACTATCTATTCCTATAAACTGCCTCCGTGGCCGAAAGGTTACCATGCCGGACTGCCACGCAGAGGTCCCAGGTTCGATTCCCGGGCCGGGAGAAATATTTGTATGGCCTACATTTATTTCTCTCGTGAGTTTGGGTGTAATTTGTGGTTGTCTAAGTGTGTGTCCATGGCACTCGCGACACAGGTTTCCCTAGTGCGGGACTATGTTGAGTGTGTGCGTGTATTTTCGTAAGAATACTTATGAGAATTATTGAAATAACATGATGACTTACTTATCTCGAAGTAACAAATTGTCGACGGTTCCAGCGAAGAGCAGTACAGACGAGAGATATACGAAAGACGTGGTAAGGATAGCGCAGATGGTACCTATAGGAATACTCTTTTGTGCATCAGCCAAATCACCCGAACGATTTGACCCAGCCATGATACCTGAAATTTTTGTAGTGATGATAATTTTAACGATGGTGTTCAGTGAGGATGAATAGCAGTATTTTTAAAAAAATAACTGAAAACCTTGTGCTTACGAGGGTTTAATAGATACACATAATTTATTTTCATTGCGTAAGCGGGTTAGATTTTTATTGTTTTGTAAAAGATATACTTACCAGTAACAGATGGGAAGAAGATACCAATCAATATGGTGAAGGTTGTCGTAAGATCTGCATAGACTTGATTATAAGTTGGTCTTTCCATTTGTTCGATATCTTCGGGTTCTTTACCATAAGCAATGTACTGACCCTCGTGAAGGAAGGAATCTTGTAAGTTATCAAAGAAAACTCCGCTGGCCAGACCCTGAAAGATGTAGTGCTTAGGTACTGAAGTTAAACGGTTTGAAGTTAGTTTAGATTTTTAATGTGTCAAGTTGTTACCTTAATACCCTGAACGATGCTGATATTGTGAGAAATATAGTAAGGATCACAGGTGTTGTTGGGGCAGAACAATTGGTGCAATTCTCCTGTCACATTTTTGGTACAGTTGCTTATGTGAATATCTTTGAGCAGTCGCTTTCCCAGAACACACAGTCTGTAGTAAATAAAAATAAACATATGGGTAACAGAACCGTAGGCCGACTGTGAATAATGCATTGCAATAAAGAAACTGACATAAGGGTTTACTTACTGTAGTTTGTCGTTTCCGTTAAAGTTTACGAATATTCCTACATATACGGCCGTGATGGAGAGAATAACACATGCTAAGGCCACTGTGGCGAACTTGTTCACAAACTTGACACCGACGAACACAACCATCCCCATAACTAGAAGTAATCCAGTGCCATAAACACGGAAGTTATTGTACATTGCTTCTGGGTCCTTAGTGAAGTCGCCGAAGATCGATAGCCACGGAGCCATATAAGTCTGCCAAAACGAAGTAATACATGTTAACTTTAATTTGAACAGTTATGAAAAGATTAGAACTATCCAATTTAGAAAGAATCACAATAAAGGCTCTCTTCAAAAAAAATTTAAAAAAGAAAACGGGACAAAGTATCTAAGCGATTAACTTGTTTATTTTCAAGTTAAAAAACGACCAAAAATCGTCAGGGTTTCATAAAATATTAGTATTGGAGGCACGAGCGGAGTTAACAATTACTTTTATACTGAGAGCGGGAAGTTAGCGAGTTTGCGGAATTGTATTCTGTCCACGAGTTGAGGGTTTGAAACTAGTCTCGACCACTCACAGAAATTACCGTAATTGAATTGCGATATTGGTAGTGATGAAAGTATAAATGAAAGTAGAATATAAAGCTGCTTTACGAATAAGAGTCTCATAAATCATATTATGTCTTCCATTAGTTGCAAAAGTTAGAAATAAGACCTTTATTGCTTTATTTTTTAGAAATAGGCGAAGTACATACTGAAAAGGAGTAATTGATTTTGGAGTTCTCTAAAACTTACCAATACAATTTCTACTGCACCGACAATATACATGGCCGCAGCAAGAGTGGTTCCAGTGTAAAACAGCATGCCAACCGCGCCGCCGCACTCCGGACCAAGCGATCTTCCAATCATGAAGTAGGAGCCACCAGCAGGAACCACGCCGTTCGTTGCAATTGCTGACATCGATATCGCGGTAAGCATCGTCTGAAAACAACCATAAAACATACTTAATCATACAGGTAAATGAGATTCACTCCTTAGGGAAATTTTGGAGTGGGTAGGTTTTTATTATAGAAATATATCATACCACTACTGGTAACCCTACGGATAACATATGCTGTAGCTAATTAACGTTTTAATCATGCTATTAAATAAAGTTAATAACATAGCACATCGCAGCGTGTAAGAAAATGTGTTATTAAATCATTCATATTTCATCTTTCATTTCGTTTCAATGTTTATATTAAAATAATCATAGGGGACATCTCTACGTATATAAAGAGATTAGTCGTGGGAAGCTAAATCAAATGACAGATTGCTTATGAACATGCCGGTGTACATTTCCGTGAAGAGTCGAGAGGAATCGCAGTTCCTCTCGACTCTGATGGGGCGTGATGCAATCCATCCTAACAGCTTAGTAATTATTCAAGTGGCAAATGAACCAGTGAACGTTGATTGCTGCACGTCCGTTTCAGCCTGTCACGACGCCGACGGCTCGGCTCAGCCACTGTGGTAGTATGATTGAAATTAATAGATGATTGGCGTTAGCATCTCCGATCAAATCTAGAGCAGATCATTTCAGGCTTACTTAAGTAATAATTAATGGTCTTGATGATAATCCCCTTTTCGGAAAAGTATCGCGACCGGAATTGACCCTGATGTTAATCTAAATCTAACTGCAACAAGTTTATTACACAAATAGACAAGAGGCTTACCGTACAACAGCATGTAAGCACAATCAGGAAGCCCTGTATAGCGCCAGCGGTGCCGACGACCCATGTCAAGCGGATGAAAAGGATCACACCAAAGATGTTCTGAATACAAGGCAGGTAGCACCCGATGAGCGTGCCCATGCGAGCTGGAGGCGCGGGCTTGGGAGCGTCTGGGTCCGCCGCCGACGCCGTAGGAATGGTGTTGGAATAGTCTGCCAGAGAACTGAGGAAAGTGGACGCACGCGGTCGATCTTCGATTTCGTCCTATGGCAAAGAGAAAATAGATTACTTAAACAAATGTCACAGTGTTTATTGAAGTAAATATAACGCTACTTTTATTATATCCGGGTATAGTATAAGTGCCAAAATTTAACAGGAATTTAGCAAGCAAGGTGTGGTTAATGTTATTTAGGTTATTAAAAAAGTAAATATTTCTCAGTCTTGACAAAATATCCACGAATATCAGTCAGTTTCTAACAACTCGAACTTTCAAAACAAATCAAATCACTATCCGCTCTTTCATATTGCAAAAGCTTTTATATTCTTTTAGAGAGTGATTGTGGTTGCAGTTGAATACGATTCCATATTTCCAATTAGCACGGCGAAACAGAACAAAAGGGATCTGCAGTGGCCCCGATTTGGTTTAAATTTTTACAAAATATAGATCAGTTGAAATGTTGCATCATTACCGAAAGTGGTATTATTAAAACCCTTCAATTTAGGCAAATTGGTTGTGCTCTTATCTTAATTCTGTCAAGAAAATTCACCGGCTGGCGTAAATTTGAAAGATGGTTTATATTCTGAGCGACTTAACTAGACTTAGTATAACGTTTTAGCTTCAGTTAACAAACTCTGGTCGCAGGTTTTAGTTTGAGATTAATGAGGTCTGTTGATTTTTTTTTGATTTTCAAGGGTGCGGTTTTCATTACACTGTAAAAGTAGCTAAAATACACCAGCAAAGCTAGACAGTTTGAGTACCAGTAGAGCTGCTTGTGTAAGATTTCGTCGTTCATCGTCGAGCATTACTGCATTCCAGTGTTGAAGGGAAAGGCTGGCGAAATTACTGGCACATGGGATTTTTCAACTTATGTTTCACAGTGACGGGCTCTGTGGCAGTGCCCCTAAGATCTGTGGGAAGTTCTGAGCGGCACTGCCACTTTTATGGACAGGCGTGTCGCTTACAACGACGAGGCGCTCTTGTTCGTTCGGTCACTACCGGTAGCGGTTCTACTGTTCCAGTTACTTGTTATTTAAGTCTATACTATTTATTAGAACTATAATTTGTTTACTTATCGACCTATCCAATTTATGGTAGCATATATAAATAATATGCAAAGTCCATAAATATATGTCGGAGTTAAGACCGGAAAGGGAGACGTCGAAGGAAACACCCTCAGAGCATATTTAGTCAGGAATTACTTTATAATCGGCTTATTCACTCTTCGTTATCAATTCGTTCAGCTGGCGGTGAAATAGTAAAGTCAACTGATTGCAATTAGTTGTTTTATGCACTTTTCACACTAATTAGTCCGAAAGTATAAGAGATGGATAAGGTTGAAAAAGTTCAAAATTCAAAGTGCAAAGAGAGCGAGGCGGTACGTCTTCACTGTCCAAGCAACTTACAAAAGAAGTTCCCTCCCTCCGGCCATACCCAGTTTGAGCTATCAAACTGACGTGACATTTGCAAACAAAGAAACCATGATCGATACCAGTTGAAATGATTCGTAGGTAGCTTAGTAAATCTTTTATCTAATTAATTACATTTGCAGTGATAGCTGGCTCCGACATATCGCACTGCTATTACAATAGTGTTGAAACTCAAAATACGTGAAATTCAAGATTGTACCACTTCTGAACGTAAAATTTGTTTCTCTACACGTTAATAAAATTGTCATTACAATATTGTAAGAAATCATGAAAATATATCCCTTAACCCAGAATGAGACAAACGTTTTGTGGGCTAGATCTGGATAAAACAGTCCTTACTCAAAAATAAGAAAAATAATTTTTTACTTTTATTTTCAAACATACTCCTAATTGGCAAGTGAGAGTTGTTTAGATGTCTAACAAATTTTAACCTATACATAAATTATAATAATCTTTCACGGGAACTGAGTAATTAGTTTTCTAGCTATTCTGAATAAATTTACTTTTTGAGTTAATACATTATTGTATTAGCAGTGCGATATATATAAAGATGATCATACTTTAGGCGCCATGCGCCTCAGCATCGTTTGCGTGAAAATCGATGAAATTTTTTTTTTTTTTTTACATAGCCCCGCACTAGGGAAACCCTGTGTCGCGGGTGCCATGGACACATACATAGACAAACACAAATTACACTAAGTTAAATTATATTAAGTAAAATTGTGAAGCTGGTGAATATTTCCACTCGCAATTGCAGACGAGATTTTTGCTCGCACACGGGATTAAATTTAGGTACGATTTCGACTAGTAAATGGAGAATAAAATTCTATTTTTAGTTAACTGACGAATTTGAAATACCGCATATACTCGACAGGTTTTAACGTTATAAAAATATATTTAATAATAATCCGAACTTCTAACGACTAACAGTGGTGTGTATAGGGCATTAGAGGCGTCGATCTTTTACTTTATTACTTTTGTCTCGATAGTAAGCAGTGGTAAAGTAATTAAAGTAAAAAAAAACCGACTTCAAAAGTTTGTTTATCTGCTTCCGCTGTGTTCGTTACCACGGTCTCCTCAGCTATAACTGAAACGTATATGAAAGTCCACGTCAAAATGAATCATTTGACACAAGGTAGCTGCTGTACTGCTGAGGAGTTCTTCTCATCTGTCTGTCATTTCCATTATCAGATCAGCTCTAGGCCACCATAACATTTTATTTTTATTGGAATTACATCTATTTGCCAAGTTTTATTGAAATCCGTTAACGGAAAGTGGGTGAAATTCAATAAACCGGATTCACCCTGTAATTTGCCAGGCTGTGGAATATTTTACTCAAATTTGAACGGTACATCTACTAGAATCATCAGAAATCGGTACATAAGGTCACAGTAATTGACTAACATAAACGGAGAATAGAAAAAAACAGTCGAATTGAGTAGCTCCTCCTCCTCCTCCTCCTCATTTTACAAAAAAATCAGTTAAAAGAAGGAATGACTTTCAATAATTTATATTAAGATCTGAGAGCACTGCCACTGCGCCCGTCACCCTGAGACATAAGTTGACAAGTCCCATGGGTGTGTAATTTTACCAGCACCCTTACCTTTCAAAACCGTAACACAGTAATGCTGACATTACTGCTTGGTGGCAGAAATAGGTAAGATGTCAGTACTTCCCTGGGTGAACTCTTTCACAAGGAGCTCTGCTGCTACTAAATTTATTATATTGAGTTGATTGCTACAGGCGGTTCGTCATAATAAGGATCTAGACCGGGCAAGTCTCTCAAGAGTTATGTCGCTGTCGATGACACAGTATTTGTCACGTAATCAGCTCATTTGCTTTTCCATCTTCTAAGCTCATTTGTCACATACATTCTCCTCATTCAATATATCTCCGAGAAATTTGTGCAAAAGTTAATCTAACAAATATGAGAAGTAATGTAAAATATGTTTTTTATACTTTATATTTAGTATGTTAAGCGAGTCATCGTCATTAATCCATTTATACGTTCCACTGCTGCACACAGGTCTAATCTTAGAAGTTTAGACCCCAGTTCGCGACGCTGACCCAATGCGGGTTCGGAATTTCACACGTATTCCGAGTGTAGGAACCCTTCTTCGACGTGCATATTTCATCACGATGTTTTCCTTCACCGAAAAGCTTAATTCTGAAAAACTTAAGATTCGAATCCACGGCCTTGAAAGGCGGTAGATCACGATTAGGCCACCACGGCTTCTTTTGTTAAGCGAGTAATCTCGTAAAGTTCCCTTGTGATGCAAACGTCATTTTTAAAGCCAGCAATTGTCTAAACACAGCAGTAAATTGCGCTTGGCAATAAAATAAAGGGATAGTCCGAAATGCCACCAATTTATCACAGGGGCTTTTTCGTATTTGTTTTCATTTGTCCGGGTGCCATTATTTCGCACTTTATTTGAAATCCGGCTGTTAAGCGCGGGGTGGGCGAAATAAAGTTCTTTGTTCATTCTCTGTCGTATGTCGGTTTCATTAAAATCGGATTGGAAATGGTCTTCTAGCTTCAAAGTCACTCACATTATCTCTGCTCTAACCCGTAAAACAAATGGTTGATTTAATTTTGTTTCCTACTTTTGTTCGGTCAGCGAAAAGTACCCTTATCACCCAAATACATCAGAGTTGTTTGTTTGGCAGATTTGATTATATTTCAATTTGGGTTGAGTGTTTTATTTAGGGCGAAAATGTTTTATATTTTGTTTCCTGATAAAACGTGAAATGCTGTAGTTTGTAAAGAAAATATTATCGATGATCGTTGGCGGTGTGAGAACTCTTGACCTCGATGGAGACGAGGGGCTTCGGTATGCAGTATCCGGTATCGACGAGTGCCAAGTGGAGGCCTTCTCACGGCCTCGACGAGAGAGTTTGTCTCATTTGATCAGGGCCACATACACCTTTGCGATTTGGTCCTACTCGAAAAGTTGCTTCATTTCGTTTAAATGTTTAGCATCAAAAATTTGCTACTTTTAAACATTTTTTATATTGGGAGCATGCTTCGACTAGCTATTTGTTTTTTTTGTACTGTTTTTCAAGTTACGCTTTAGAATGGAATCCTAAAAGCTATGTTCGGTTTCCAGAATAAAGCTTTGCATTTGAAAGTTCTGCTAAATAACACAAAAATACCAGAACACTTGATATCTAAATTGGATGCAATAATGTGTAAACCAATATGATCATAGCTTTGTGAAAAAGGCAACTAAAGATTTTTTCGTTCTTTTTGATAGTTTGTTCTAAAATTTACTTGTAGAATGAAAACTTTTGAAAATCACAACCATTTATCATTCCTGAGGTGACAACAGCAAAACTTTTTATTTTACAAGTAAATTTTAGACCAAAGTATGTTTGCCACCAGAGAAGTACTGCTACCTTACCTATATCTGCTGCCAAGCAGTAATGTGAGCATTGCTGCCTTCCGGTTTGGAAGGATAAGGGTGCTGGTGGAATTACGGGCACATGAAACCTGTCAACTTATGTCTCAGGGTGATGGGCATAGTGCAGTGCCCCTAAGAGCCTATACGATTAACAGCCCTAAGTTCACGCGCCGTAAACGCGCGTAATTTGCGCTTTTACGCGCTGTAGTGAATCGA